AGATGTTGGGTGCACTTGGCGAGTTTGATTTGCTTCTGGGCAAATCAATTGGGGCTGTGGTCTTGTTTTCTGTAGTTGCGCAACCTACACTTGTGAATCGAGTGTTAGAGGCACAAGGAGGTGACCTTGAGGTGGAATCCCTCCGAGAGAAGATCTCCAGCGAGAAGGCTGAGAAGGGCTTGACGGTGTATCCCGACCTGAGTGTGAGATACCGAGACCGCTTGTTTGTGCTGGCGTCTTGCCGAGAGGAGGTACTCCGAGAGTTTCACCATTCACGCCTTGCGGTACATCCGGGAGGCACTAAGATGTATCGAGATTTGGGTCGCCAGTTTTGGTGGCGGGGTATGAAGAAGGATGTGGCAGCGTTTGTGTCTAGGTGCCTTACTTGTCAGCAAGTGAAAGCCGAACATCAGAGGCCAGCGGGTTTGTTGCAACCCTTGCCTATTGCCGAGTGGAAGTGGGAACATGTCACTATGGACTTCGTTGTAGGTCTTCCAAGGACTCAGTGGGGTAGTGATGCTATTTGGGTGGTTGTAGATTGGTTGACTAAGTCGGCGCACTTTATCCCTATGCGCGTGAGAGATTTGGTAGATCATCTTGCCGACTTGTATATTCGGGACATAATGAAGTTGCACAGGGTCCCAATGTTGATCATCTCTGATAGAGATCCTCGTTTTACTGCTAGGTTGTGGCAGAGTTTGCAGAGTGCCTTGGGCACTAAATTGACCTTTAGCACAGCTTATCATCCTCAGACTGATGGGTAGTCCGAGTGTACTATTCAGATCCTTGAGGATATGCTTCGAGTTTGTGTTCTTGACTTTAGTGAGTCATGGGAGAGGCACTTGCCTCTAGTGGAGTATGCCTATAACAACAGTTTTCAGTCGAGTATCGGTATGGCACCGTTTGAGGCTTTGTATGGTCGACCGTGTAGGTCTCCAGTTTGTTGGGCCAAGGTGGGTGATGCACCTTTGTTAGGCCCGGAGTTGGTGAGGGAAACGACGGAGAAGGTTAAGCTTATCCGTAGGAGGCTTGTCACAGCCCAGAGTCGCCAAAAGAGTTATGCCGACCATAGAAGGAAGCCTTTGGCATTTGAGACGGGTGATCATGTTTTTCTGAAAATATCAACTAGGCGGGGTTTGATGAGATTCGGGAAGAGTGGGAAGTTGTCCCCTCAGTTTATTGGTCCCTTTGAGATCCTTAAGAGGATTGGCCAGGTTGCCTATCATTTGGCCTTGCCGCCGCAATTATCCGGAGTGCATGACGTGTTTCATGTTAGTATGCTTCGGAAGTATGAACCAGATCCGTCCTATGTGCTGGATTGGACCGATTTGGAGGCTGACGAGGATATCTCGTATGAGGAGGGACCGGTTCAGGTCTTGGATAGGCGGGATCAAGTCTTGCGAGGCAAGACCATTTCCTTAGTAAAGTTTTGTGGAAACATCACGGAGTGAAGGAAACCACTTGGGAACGTGAGGTGAATGTCCGTGAGAAATATCCGGACTTGTTTGTAAATGTTTAACTGTAGTGGGATTTTGTAATGTTGATGAACTTTAAGAGCATTAAATATGTCTTAAGTTGTAAAACATTGTATATGTTTTGATTTATAGAAGTATTTTGAAACTTGCCTTGAAATGGAAGTTTAGTGTAACATTGCATATGTTGAATGTACTGTAGAAATGGAATTATATCATGAATATTGAATATGATATAGATTTGTGAAATATGTGTTAAAATTGGTAAATTTCAAAGGAAAGCATGCTAATTATGCATATTGAGTTATATATTGTGATTTGCCTCTTGAAAAAAGATGGGATGACCGGTAATGGGTCAGGTTGTTAAATGTTGAGTTGTAATACTGTTGAGAATTGAGAAAACCACGTTTTTGAAAAACTTGTACTTAATTTCGGGGACGAAATTCCTTAAGGGGGGAAGGTTATAGCGATCCTGGTTTTTCCTCTCTTTATTTATTGTATTCCGGACTCGGTTCCGTGGATGTGTTGTTGTCTCATTCTCATTTCTATCCTTTACTCTTCTTATTTGAGTCTTGGGTTGTGTTGAGCAGGTTTGAAACAGGTTGGTTGTGCTTTGAAACCAAAAGTTGGTGCCCAAAATTTGGCCTTCACGCTCGAGCGGGGCTTTTGACACTCGAGCGGGCCCTTCGTTGTTGCTTCTCCGCTCGAGCGGGAGTTTTGACGCTCGAGCGTGAATTTCCATCTCCTAGTATTTTTCTCTGCAGGTCTTTGTACGCTCGAGCGGGAGTTTTGACGCTCGAGCGTGACCCCTTTGATTTTGTTCCTCCGCTCGAACGGGGACCATCGCCTGCAAAACTTCTATGAGTGTGCATCCAACGCTCGAGCGGGCGTTTTGACGCTCGAGCGTGAATCTGTGTCTGACGCTCGAGCGGAGGTTCCCACGCTCGAGCGGGGCAACTTGTATATCAGTCCGAGTTTCACCTTTTTGGATCACTTTTTGATTTCCTTTCTCTCTCTTACTTTTTCAAAACCTCCATTGGAGAGCACCTCTCTCTAAAACCCAACTTCGCTCTAGGTATTGATCTAATTAGAGTGATCTCCTACCCTTGTCCCTTTGTAAAAAGTGTTGTGCTTGGTGTGGGCTTCACTTTGATCCGAAAATTTCTTGATTTGGAGCATCTCGAATTTTCTTCATCTTCTTCCTTTGAGCTCCGAATTTGAGGTAAGGATAACTACTCATTCTTATGATCTTTGACATAAATTTTTAGTCATTTTGATATAATGTTGATGTTGGGTAATTTTGGGTGTTAAGGTTTCAAAATGTATAAAGAGGGGTTTTGTATTTTGATGCCTTTACATGTGTATTTGGGGCTAGAGATGAGATTATTGGTGTTGTTGTTGATATTTGAGCCTTTGGATCAAAGTTGAGAAAAATGGGAGAAAGCCCTAATTTTTGCTATTAATTAATTTATATAATTAATTGGGAAATGTTATGGAATTATGAAATTGAGTTGGAAATAATGAAATTGGCTCATTAGGTAATAGAATGGTGTAGTTGGATTTAATAATCACTCACCTTTGAAAATGTTGATAATTTACCTGTTGGTGCATTTATTATCTGTTTAGAAATAACTGTTTTGGGCTATTGATGAAGGATAGTCTTGATTGTTGTAGACACTGCATGATGATTAGGTGAACTAAAACTAACCAAGTTGTGTGTTTGAATACATGGGTGCCGGATCCCGCAGATGAAATTTCTGTAAAATGGCCATTCGAAAATAATCACACATGGGTGCTGAATCCCACGGACGTAATTTTCGTAAAATGGCAATTCTAAATATCTATACATAGGTGCCGAATCCCACGGATGAAATTTTCGTAAAATAGCAATCTGAAAACATCTATACATGGGTGTCGAGTCCCACGGATGAAATTTCCGTAAAATGGCCATGAGAAACTAATTACACATGGGTGCCGAATTCCGCGGACGCAATTTCCGTGAAATGGCAGTTTGAAGTATTGTTGGCTTGAGATGTAGTCTCGCTTAAATTGTTTGGCCAGGTTCTCAGTCGTGTTTATAAGTTGAATTTGTTAAATGAAGGATTATGGAACTGGATTGTACTATATGTTGGTCTATATGAGTTAAACATTTATCATATGCTTATGTTTTAGTTATTGCTCATATTATGTTTAGCATATCTCTACTGGGCATTGACTCACCTTATATGGGACATCATTTTCAGATACAGGTAGCATGCCACCTCCAAGGACATAGCTTGAGAGGCTTAGTGCCTGGGACATCTTTTGTAGGTACATTTTTGTATTACATGTGTATCAAGCCAAGGGCTTATTATCTGTTTGAGTTAGTACTCACTCTTTTTGTAACCAAGTGTTGGCTTGAAAAGTTGTAAGCCCGTAGGGCATTTACTTTTGTTGTCAACATGTAATACATTTTGTAATGAATACTCTGATGAAATGTAATTATGCTTTATTCTCTTATGTCAAGAATATATGATTGATGAGTTTATTTTGAGGGCGTTACAGTGCCCCTCCTAATACACAATTTCAAACCCAACTAACCACTGACACACCCACACCACGCATGACGCACCATGTTTATATATTTTATTTTATTTTATTATTATTATTTTTTTTTTTTGGAATCTCAATCCCAATCCTAATTAAATACTAACACAACTTTTTTTTTGGTGAGTGCACACAACTCCAATTACAGTAAAGTTAAAACTCTAAAACCTTAAAAGTGTATGAAATTCTTTATTTTTTTTATTTATTCACAGTACTTGTGAAGCATCTTTGTATTTTCTTTGTTTTTTTTGTCTCCCTTTGTTGCTTTGCAATTTACCAACTCGCAATTCACTAAATTAGGATCACACAGCACAGATTTGGGACCATACTACAACCTTGGTATCTTTTCTTCATTGTTTACAAGTAACTTTTTTTTTTTTTACTTTTAAATAAAAATTATGAGTATTAATTTATAATTGTTTGTTAAGTTTTGATTTGTAAAATTTTTTTTATTTGTTATTATTTATGTTAAAATAAGAGATTTTGATATGCTAAAATTATGAATCTTAATTGGTGGTGATTTATATTAAAATTAAAGATTTTGGTTTGTTGTTGTTTGCGCTAAAATTAGGGATTTGATTTATGCTAAAATTAAAAACATTAATTTGCAGTGATTAATATTTAAATTAGGAATTTTGATTTGTTATAATTTGTGCTAAGATTAAAAATTTAGATTTGTTGTGATTTTTACTAATTTAAATTTTTTGATTTGTATTAAAATTGGAGATTTTGATTTGTGGGGGCTTTGAGATTTTGATTATGAATTTTTATTTTGATTTTTGGTTTTTCCAAACAGTCATGGAGAAATATTTCAAAAGAAAATCATAGTTGGAATCATCTCTTTCTCAAGAAAAAGATGATAATTATTCTTCTGCAAAACAAAGTCGCATAGAAATCAACTTAGTAGACCTTCCTGCAGATCCAGGACTACGGCCTCGGATTATGGACTATAATGCTAATGATCGAGACCGAATTCGTAGGGTATATCTACAAAAAGGTCCTTGTCAACCTTGTGATCATAATTTTCCACAAAAATCATTTGGACAAAAATTTTGGCTATTTAATCAGGCTTGGTTTAGTGAATTTCCTAATTGGTTGGAGTATAGCGTAGCAAAAGATTTAGCATTTTATTTATGTTGTTATCTTTTCAAACCCAATATTGGAGAGCAAGCTGGTGGTGATTCCTTTGTTGGTGAGGGTTTCTCAAATTGGAAGAAAAAAAAAATTCAGACTCATGTTGGAGGTCCCAATAGTGCTCATAATCAAACTTCGAGTAAATGTCAAGACTTGTTAAACCAAAACCAACATATTGAAACGATTTTTTTCAAACAATCTAATCAAGCTCGAATTGAGTATCGAACCCGTTTGAATTCATCAGTTGATTGTGTTAAATTTCTTCTAAGACAAGGACTTGCATTTCGTGGGCATGATGAATCGGAAAAGTTAAGTAACCAAGGAAATTTTCTTGAACTTCTCAAGTTTCTTGCTGATCATAATGAAGATGTCAAAGTGGTTACATTGAGCAATGCTCCTCAAAATCTCAAGTTGACATCTCCTGATATTCAAAAAGACATTGTAAATGTGGCCGCATTTGAAACTATCAATGTGATTATTAGAGATCTTGGTGATGCACTTTTTTCTATTTTGATTGATGAAGCTCGTGAGAAATCAATCAAGGAGCAAATGGCAGTTGTAATACGATATGTTGACAAAAAAGGCCAAGTGATTGAGCGCTTTTTGGGTATTGAGCATGTTGCTAATACGAATGCTCCGTTACTTAAACAAGCTATGGAAAATTTATTCTCCAGACTTGGATTGAGTATTTCCAGATTGCGGGGTCAAGGATATGATGGGGCTAGTAATATGCAAGGTGAGTTCAATGGTCTTAAAACACTTATACTGAAACAGAATCCTTGTGCATATTATGTTCATTGTTTTGCTCATCAATTACAATTGGCACTTGTACCCGTGGCGAAGAATCATAATCAAATTGCTTTACTTTTCACTTTGGTTTCTAATGTGGTGAATGTTGTTAGAGCATCATGTAAACGCCGAGATATTGTTAGGAAGAAGCAAGCTACAAAAGTTGCTGAGGCACTTAATACTGGAGAGCCATCTAGTGGGCAAGGCTTAAATCAAGAAACTAATCTTAAACGTGCTGGTGATACACGTTGGGGTTCACACTATGGTACTTTAGTCAGCTTGGCTAGTCCGTTTCAACAGTGATTGATGTGCTTGAAATGATTTCGGAGGATGGTTCAAATTCAGAACAACGAGCAGAAGCAAATGTATTGTTGGACTCAATTCAATCATTTGAGTTTGTATTCAACCTTCATTTGATGAAAACGATATTGGCTATTACAAGTGAGTTATCGCAAGCACTACAAAGAAAAGATCAAGATATTGTTAATGCTATGAATTTAGTTCAAATTTCTAAAGTACGGCTCCAAAAGATGAGGGAGAGTGGGTGGACATCTTTACTTGATGATATTTTGTCTTTTTGTGAAAAGCATGAAATTGATGTTCCCCAAATGGAAGATATGTTTGTAGCTCGAGGGAGAAAAAGGCGCAATGCTCAAGAAATTACAAACTTACATCACTATCGCGCTGAGTTATTATACACTGTTTTGGATATGCAAGTTCAAGAACTAAATGCTCGTTTCACTAAGTCGAACACTGATTTGTTACTTTGTGTGGCATGTTTGAATCCATCTAACTCTTTCTCTAGTTTTGACAGGAAAAAGTTAATTTATCTTGCTGAATTTTATCCCAAAGAATTTTCTTCAGTGGAGCTCATGGTACTTAATGATCAACTTGATACATATATTATCAACATGCTATCCAGTAGTGAGTTCTCAATGTTGAATGGAATTGCCGATCTTACTAAGAAAATGGTAGAGACTAGAAAAGACAAGAAGAGACAAAGTATATCCATTGGTGTATTTGCTCTTGACTTTAGCATTAATCTTACTTGTTGCAACTGCTACTATTGAGAGAGTATTTTTAGCTATGAATATTGTGAAGAATCGGTTGCGAAACCGAATGGGTGATGAAGAATGATAGCTTGGTTGTCTACACTGAGAGAGATATTTTTTATGGCATTAGCAATAATACAATTATGGAAAGATTTCAAAAGATGAAAACTTGTCGGGGTCAATTGTAAAAGTTTTTGTAATGGATATTAATTTTTAATGTTTAACATTAGCTCGACAAATTATTATTATGTTATTGTTATTGATTGAAAGAAAAATTTTGAGATTGTAATTAATGGGTGCCCTCCCTATATTAAATTCCTGGCTCTGCCACTGGCAGCAACAAAACACCAAAAACAAAACAGAAAGTTCAAGTCTAAGAGGCAACTAGCATCAAGAAGACACCAACTCCAAAAGTCTCAAGGTCAAAGGGAAAAAGAAATTGCAGAGAAAATCCATCTCAACCAAACTACTAGTTTCAACAAGATTAAGCAAGCACATAGAGTAAAGTGAATCTAATGTGTTTAGAGAAAATTGTGATGATAGAGAAAATTCATATAAAGGGAAAAATTACTCGCAAGGATACAACTAACTAGTGAAAATCAAGCAAGCAACATAATTTGATGGGTCAAGAAAAATTCAGATGTTAGAGAAAATCAATCAAGGCACATAAGTTAATGTGATTATAATTGTGGTTAGAGAAAATTCATCACATGAAGGAAACTAACTAGTGAAAATCAAACAAGCAATATAAATTGAAATGCTAAAGAAAATTCATCTCAACCAAACTAATGGCAAAGAAATTGCAAAGAAATTCATCTCAACCAAACTACTAGCTTTAACAAGATCAAGCAAGCACATAAAATAAAGTGAATATAATGTCATCAGAGAAAATTCAGATGTAAGAGAAAATTATAGATAGAATCACATAACAAGTTTTAAGAAAATACAAAATGCCATTGAAACCCTAATTAATCTGGATATTATTACGAAATATAAACCCTAATTAATTGAAGAATATTATAAAATGCAATGAATTGTAGATGCAGAGAAAAACTAGTTTAAGAATAGAAACACCTACCAGAGTGAGGTGGTGATGATGAAATCCTAATTACAAACGGAGATGAATCGAGTTGAAGATGAACAGACTCAATAATGAAAGTAAAATGTATTAGAGAAATTTCTAAGAAGAAATCTCAAAGATTTTCTCGTAGATAAAACCCTAACTTCACTGAATATGATTGATAGAGCTACCATGGCTTTGAAAATGAAGGGACCCAAGTAGAAAGCTTGAAGAAAGAGAAGAAGGGATGTGAGATTTGGATGAGCAAATTGAATTCAGAGAAAAAAATCTTGAGATTGAAGAAGCCATTGTTGTTTGCTTCAATTTTGTTATCGTTCTTAATTCAGAGAGAGAGAGGAGAGGAGAGAGAATGAGAGAGTGGGTGTGATATATGAGTGTGGGTGAGGGATCTTAAGTTATAAAATATATATATATATATATATATTATGAACTTCTCCCATTACTAAAAGTTGGAGAGGGGTGTTAGACCAATTTTTCCAAAATTTTAAGGTAAGACACTACATATATTTATATCCAAAACAAAAATACTATATAATTTTGAATAAATTATCAATGAGTGAAAGGTTTTCATAATATTAAACAAAATGTGAAAAAAATGGGTACAAAATTCTACTCTATCTTTTCACACAAAAAAGAGTTGCACCTATGTTTTTTCAAAAAATTTTGATCAAAAGTGTCTCAAAGAGGGGTGGTTGTTGTACTGGCTCGTATGGGGTTTGTTGAGTAAATAATTCATCAAAAAAATCAAATTAATTGGATATTTTTATTATTTTTTTTAAAAAAAATTAATAATAAATACAATTTTGATAATAAATTATTGGGTAAATTACACTTACCTCCCCTGAGGTTTCTGACAAATACAGGGACCTCCCCCTGTGGTTTCAATAATTACAGTAACATCTCCTACTTTACCTAACAATGTCAAGATTCCCCCATTTGTTGACAGCCGTTTATACACCTAGCAAAACCTGTTGATGTTATCAAAGCAAAGCACTAAAATGCCCATAATGCCCTCAATTGTCCTCAACCCATCTATATATACTAATACCAAATGCTGGAGTTCTCTAGCTTCAGAAAATCCAAGTGAAAGAGGGAAAATTACAGAGGCAACAAAAAGTGAAAAGCAACAAAAAGAACAAAACAGGGGTCTAAGCACAATACAGGTATATTCCCACTCACATTAACTATTTAAATAAATAAAAATTACATGTGAATAATAACTAATCAATCCAAAAAAATAGTAATAATAATAATTTGAAAGCACAAAGCACAAACAATACAACCATTATTGACAAATAAAGCACAAACAACAGACATCCAACACAGGTATGTCCTATTATTCAGAAATAAAGCACAACAACAAAATGCAATATATGTTCTGAAAATGCATTATAACTCTCATATTTCATGAATGTAGATTCATTGGATGGATATGTCATCATCAAATAGTGGAGGAGGGGTGATGAAATATAAAAGCAAGCTCTGCTACTATGGGGGCAAAGCATCAATTAAAGTCACTAAATCATAAGGAAGGAAAATATTTATAGAGAGAGAGAGAGAGAGGCAAATTGTATTATTTATGCCCAAATGGGAAATGTGCATTATCGGACTGGTGCAAACCAGTAAACTCATCTGTTGGAGGAGAAATGATGATGGAAGACACTCAAGCAACTGTTAACAAACACACGTTATCCTATGAAGAAGAAACTCATGCAATGAATTTAATAAACCAAATGGGGGCTATGCAAACAAGGATGCAAGTACTTGAAGCAAACATAGGGTTCATGAAGATAGCAATGATGATGAATGTTGTTTTGTGTTTGATTTCATTAATGGTTGCTCTCAAAATGTAATGGTAATGATTTACCTAATGTTTTGTAATGGACCTTATGTAAGGTTTTGTAATCTTTTGTAATAGACCTTATGTTTTGGAATGCATCTGAAAATGTAATGGACCTTATATAAATATGATGAAGTTATTGAGCATTATATAAATATGCACATCTAATTTGACTAACATAACAACATGTAAACATAATAAACATCAAGTAGGATTATTTAATGACATCATATAAACATCAAGTAGGACTGTTTAATTACATCATTCCTATGATATATGTTCAGTTACATCATTCCATGGACCATATTTGTCAAGTCTATGCAATTACATCATGTAAGTTCCCAAAATGAGTATTTATAAAATACTTCATACCCACTAAAAAAAACTAAAGTGAGCACATCATTAATTTGCTATCCTTAGCATTGCATGTCCACTACAAAAAATAAAAAATAATAAAATAATAAAAAAAAATGGTGGAACATGATCCTCACTAATTGTACAGTAAAGTAACATATATTTTATACCTTCAACCTATGTTAATCCTTGTACCAAAAACATCAACATCTTAGCTAAGTCATCTGCCAAAAAAAAAAAAAGGTCCAACAAACAAATAAATAAACAAAAAGGCAATGTTGGATTCATACAAGATGAAAAAAAATAAGAAAATAATTTCATTGTAAGGTAATAAATATCATTCTTGTGCATCAATGGATAGACAAAACAAATAAAAATCACAAATGAAAAGGCAAAAGAAATAGGAAAAGCTTACTTTTGCATGTTTGGCCTTGCCCTTGCCTCTTCCACTTGAACTCCCTCTCCTAGTTGAACTTCCTCTACCAGTTGCATTTCCCCTCCCAGCTGAACTGCCCCTTGCACTTGAATTGCCTCTACCACTTGCATTTTTCCTTCCAAATTGCCTATCACAAAACCTCTGCCCCTACTCATAAATCTGCCACTGCCCCTACCAACAGTTCTGTCACTGCTTTTACCACTAGATGTGCCACTGTCCCTACCACCAATTCTGTTACTTCCTTTACCACTGGATATGCCAAGTCCCCTACCACCAGCTATGCCATTGCCCCTACCACTAGTTGTACCACTACCAAATGCTCCACCCCCGACTGGACCTTTTTGGCAGGTTCTCTTGTTGTGTCCAAATTGCATGCACCATTTGCATCTCAAGGTACTAGACCTTTTATTTTGACTTGTTCCAGTTGGAGGCTCATGAGCAACCATCTTCTTTGAAGTTCTTGGCCTTCTTGGCAATCTTTTCAGAGATGGGGGTTATAAAGGGTCCCCAAGTATAAGTGTCCACATGCTATGGTCTAAG